GAGAGTATAGTTTTACCAACGCTCTTATATGGGTGTGAAGCATGGGTGATGAATGTTGCAGCGAGGAGAAGGCTGGAGGCAGTGGAGATGTCATGTCTGAGGGCAATGTGTGGTGTGAATATAATGCAGAGAATTCATAGTTTGGAAGTTAGGAGGAGGTGCGGGATTACCAAAACTGTTGTCCAGAGGGCTGAGGAAGGGTTGTTGAGGTGGTTCGGACATGTAGAGAGAATGGAGCGAAACAGAATGACTTCAAGAGTGTATCAGTCTGTAGTGGAAGGAAGGTAGGTGGGGTAGGGGTCGGCCTAGGAAAGGTTGGAGGTTTTGTGTGCGAGGGGCTTGGACTTCCAGCAGGCATGTGTGAGCATGTTTGATAGGAGTGAATGGAGACAAATGGTTTATAATACTTGATGTGCTGTTGGAGTGTGAGCAAAGTAACATTTATGAAGGGGTTCAGGGAAACCGGCAGGCCGGGCTTGAGTCCTGGAGATGGGAAGTACAGTGCCTGCACTCTGAAGGAGGGGTGCTAATGTTGCAGTTTAAAAACTGTAGTGTAAAGCACCCTTCTGGCAAGACAGTGATGGAGTGAATGATGGTAAAGTTTTTCTTTTTCGGGCCACCCTGCCTTGGTGGGAATCGGCCAGTGTGATAAAAAAAAAAATAAAAAAAAAATTATTTTTGTATTCTAGTTTTCCTGATCTCATTTTATAGAATGGAAGACATGTTACAGAAATTGAGATGATTTTGACTGGTTTTACAATGAAAAGTACCTTGAAATTGAGCTCAAAGTAGCAGAAATTTTGATTTTTACCAAAGTTCTAAAGTAAACAAATCATGCTAAGCGTCCAATACACGTCAACTGGTGAGTCTAATATTCTTTCACAAGTGCGCTGATATTATTTATAACATTTCTACACTAATGCAGTAGTCTGCATAACAGTAAATCTTCTATTTTTTGTGAGAATAAAAATTCAAAGTGGAAAGCAAAACAACGTAAGAGTGGCATGGGGACGTGACTAATGAACAGAGGAAATATTGTGATGAATGGTTTGAAAAACCGACAAGTTGAAGATTGAGACACTTATGCAGCAATGGAATCTTTATTCAGAAACGTTTGCAACAGTGGCTTCATTCGTCCAATACAAGAAGGAATGGCGTAAGGAGAGGAGGAGAATGAGGTAATTGTCCCTCAACCTGGGAGACGATGGACCTGAAACATTAACTCCAGATTGAGGATGATTATCTCATTTCCTCCTCTCCTTACGCCTTCCTCTTTGATTGGATGATGAAAGCCCTGTGATGGCGAAACGTTTCTGAATAAAGATTTCCCATATTGCTTGCATAAGTGTCTCTAATCTTCAGAGGAAAATATTTTTTAGTGCAGAATGACTGTCTTGTTTATTTCGTACCTTATTTGGAAATTGGCCATCTTATGAAATTTGTGTGAAATTGGCAAAATGTAAATGTCTGACCCTGTATTGATAGTGAAATGGTAAATGGTGTGTTGTTTTTACTTATTTATTTTTTTTTTTTGAAATTTGGGCGACCAAATGAGACAGACTGGGAGAGGGCCTGGGGACTTGAAGGGGTTAAAAAAATTTTTTTTTTATGAGTTGATAGAGAATCTTTTACCGTTGCATAATGACCCAAAAGTACGAAATTTGATGGAAAACTTATGGAAATACGTTCTTGCGAAGTTAACCACATTTACGCATCAGTGATTTCGCCCACTATTTTCGGCCAGTTCCATTGTTCCAGTCTACCAAACTTATAGCTATTTCTTTAGAACTCCATTTGTTCTATTGAGTACAAGAAACCTCCCATTTACCGATTTCAACTACCCAATAGTCAGAAATTGGCATTTGGCCAATTTCATGCAAATTAAAAAATGACAATTTCTAAGTTGGGTCAAGAATGAACAATGCCGACATTCCTGGTACTAAAATAACATTTGCTATGTTCATCAGTCACGTCTCCAGGCCCCTCTTGCTTTCTATTTTGAATTTATATTCACACAAAAAATAGAAGATTTACTGTTATGCAGACTACTGCATTATTGTAATTGTATAAATGTCAACCCATTCATGACTATTAGAATGGCTAGTTGGACATTTATTGGACTGATGTAATTTGTTTACTCTTGAGCATTGGCCAAAATCGAACATTTCTGCTACTTTGAGATCCAATTCAAGTCCTTTTCATAGTGAAACTATGTAAATTAAAAGGACACAAGTGCAACTAATGTGACAATTTTATTGTGGCAACGTTTCGCTCTCCAGGAGCTCCTGGAGAGCGAAACGTTGCCACAATAAAATGTCACATTAGTTGCACTTGTCATTTTACTTTACATATTGTTGGTAATTCTACCAACATTATCACAGTGAAACTAATCAAAATCATCTCTATTTCTGTATGTCTCCCATTCGATCAAATGAGACCACGAAAACAAGGATACAAAAATAAATACTATACGAAAATACACCTCAGCGTTTTAACCCAAAAACATGGTCTGAGTTTTTTTTCTCATTATGCACTGTGTGCTGCAGGATTTTTTTTATAATGCACACACTGACCACACAGACCTATTCTCTCACACATGGGAGTACCAGCTTTCTCCGTCTTGATTTGAAGCCGCTAGAATTTTTGAGTATATATACATCAAACACATTGGCTCAAAAGATGTATGTATATGACTGAAACAGTCAAAGGATTAATACTGTGCACACCGAGTGTTAACCCTTGGAGAGTCGATACCCCTGATCCTTAACACTCTCGGTCAAAAAAAAAAAATTATGAAATGGAGAATCTTTTCCCGATACTAATGACACCGGAAGTACAAAATTTGATAGAAACCTTACGAAATTATGCTCTCACGAAGTTAGCGATATCTGCGATATTTATCTATCGGCGATTTTGCCCACTTTGAGCCCTATTTTGGGCAAATTCTATTGTTCCAGTTTACTAAAATCGTAGCTATTTCACTATAACTCCATTTGTTTTATCAATTTAGTACAAGAAACCGCCCATTCACCGATTTCATCTGCCCAATAAAGTGGTCAGAAATTGGCAATTTGGCCAATTTCAACCAAAGTTCAAAAGATGCCAATTTCAAAATAGGGTCCAGAATAAACAAGACACATACCTGGCACTAAAATAACATTTTCTCTGTTCATTAGTCACGTCTTCAGGCCCCTCTTATATTACTCTTGCTTTCCATTTTGAATTTTTATTCTCAAAAAAAAAAAAAATACTGTTAGGCAAACTACTGCATTTTTGTAAAAATGGTATAAATAATATCAGCGCACTTGTGAAGGAATATTGCTCACCAGTTTGACGTGTATTGGACGCGTGGCGGGAATTGTTTACTCTTGAACATTGGCAAAAATCGAACATTTCCACTACTATGAACTCAAGTTCAAGGTACTTTTCGTTGTGAAACCAATCAAAATCATCTCTTGTTCTGTAATGTATCTTTCATTCTATCAAGTGAGACAAAGAAAACGAGAAAACAACCATAAAAACCATACAAAAATACACTGCAAGGTCACTGTTTTAAACCAAAAAGTCAGTTTTTTCTCATTCACTGCGTGCTGGAGGATTTTTTCTTATACTGCACACACTTACCACATAGACCCATTCTTTCATATATAGGCCAGCTTTCTTCCACCAGATTTGAAGGCGCGTAAAATTTTGGCGTATAAATATGGGACCGACACTTGGCCATCAATCCATACATATACACTGGACTGTTGCGAATGAGGGTTTACATTAGGTCACTAATCCTTTTGGTGGGGAATCAGTTTGAATGTTGGCTTTTATCTAGGGGAAAACTCCAATGGCAACAAGGGTTTAGTGTGACAAACATAGCCTTCTTAACCAAAGAGGCTTTTTTTTGTTAACCTTTTTTCTTTAGGATGACCAGAACTCAAGTAAAATCCTTGTCTTTAATAATAATAAAACTTAGATTGCATCTTCATATATCTATGAACCATAATCTTAAAGAGCATGAAATTACGTTTATTTCCCTTGACACATGAAGGGTAGAATTATATACAGCTATTGTTAATAGGCAGTCAATATAAGACATGAAATAACTGATACATTGCTAACAACTCGTATCAATGTCTTCACAGAGACATTAAATTCAGATTATCCATACAGGAAGTTTGATCGATATTCCCATGCAAGGAATCTGAATATGAATAGAGAACTCTAGAAAACGGGGATCAGACTAAGTATGAGAGTACAAGGCAGAGTACTACTTGGGAGTGAGTGGGTGAACCTACTGCCTGTTCTAAGGAGGGGTAATCCAACGTAAGGTAGGATCACGTGACTTAGCAGGTAGGCAAGTTGCTGACTGGTAACCAGCACTCTTAACTAGTGGTTTCCCACTACATGAAAATCACATACTTAATAGTATGAATGCCTAACAAATTACAGAATATAATACAAGATTTACAATGGTGATGAACATTATACATATATCGCCTACATGGTACTTGTAGCGTTAGATGATATAAAGCAGACCTTGTCCCTTTCAGCTATGAAGGAAGAAGATCGTGATATAATATTAATTAGAACACATTTGAGTGTCTCAATAAAGAGCACAATCTTAGTCAAAAGATGCAACAGGGACTGACCCTGAAAGGGTTTAAGACCCATTCTATACTGACCAGGCATCTCGGGTCAGTCGTGCCAAATTTGGAGGCAGGAAAAAATAAAACTTATCTACATTTGGAGTGCCAGTGGTAAGAACATAGATCTGTTTGGACAGTTAATGGGTTAATATTTATTGTCTTCCAGATACTGTTTCAGTTTGGTGGTACTCATTTTTTTGACTTGTATATATAGCCTGATTATTTTTTATTTTCCAGTCTTTGAATGATGAATCAAATTTTTCTGATAGCTTGATGTTACTTCAGCTCACTCTGATATTTAATAAACAATATATTCATGTATATTTCTATTCTATTCTTTAATATTAATTATTCTTTCAACAGCTAAGAAATATGATGCTTTTATTGCATCTGATGCCTTGATTAAGCAGATTCCTCGGTTGTTGGGTCCTGGCCTTAACAAGGCAGGAAAGTTCCCTACCATGTGCACTCACTCTGAAAAACTGAGTGAAAAGGTTGATGAAATAAAGGCAACAATTAAGTTCCAAATGAAAAAGGTATGTTTTTTTTTTTTCTGATTGTTGTGTTGGCAAATATTAAAGAATTTCTACATGAGCATTACTAAACTATACAGTATGTTTTTCTGAAGTGTTTTGCTAAAAAAAAATTTAACTTCAAATGTCATTGGTTAAACTGTGCTTACACACCATGTGCCTTTTTATTTTTATTTGTGCGTACAGTAATGTACATTTTGGAATTAAATGTTAAATGAAATTACTGCTGCTTGGATCTTAACAATGATGGAATGCATGTATTACCTGAACCAAATGTGTTGACACCACATTACTGAGTATTTTAAAATCTCCAGTACCTTTATTTTTGTGTGTTTTATGATTTACCTATTTTTTTACTTTGCAGGTGTTGTGCTTGTCAGTTGCCATTGGTCATGTGGATATGACTGCCGATGAGCTGGTTCAGAACATATACCTTGCAATGAACTTCCTGGTCTCGCTTCTTAAAAAGCACTGGCAGAATGTGCGCTCCCTTCATATTAAGTCTACGATGGGCAAATCCCAGCGTCTGTACTAAGCTAATAAAAGGAAGCAGAGTAAAAGAGTTTTATTTTTAGACTTTAAAACCTAGTAATGGCTTCTTGATGTGAATGAGAAAATTTAATCTAAAGTCTGAGGTTGGTAATACTGTACATAATGGATTGGCCTGCTATGAAAGTATATTGTCAGCTTCATTGCTGATGTTTTTGCCGTTTAGAAGTTGTCTTATGGAAGTATCCTTGAACTGAAGTATTCATTGGCTGTACCTGTTGACATTACATGCTCTCTTAATTTCCTGAGAGGATGCTGGTGTTGGGGTTCAGTCAATGAAATTAATGTTGCCTTTGCCCTTGTGGTTTAGTGCTTCTTTTTTATTATAATTATTTTCCAGGTACTGTAATGACTTTGAAGCACATCCACATGGAATAATACTCTTAAATTTGTTTGTTAATGTCTGCATTGCGCTCTACCTTGCAGGATTTAATAACTGTTAGGTTTAGCAGTTTTGTGTAGTAATCTTAGTTTCTTGCTCTATGACTTGTGGCCTTATTACTTTTTTTATTGAACCCAATTGCCTCCTACAATTCCCTAGTATTGTTTTCCCCCCTTTCCCATGGATATAGCCATTTGTTAATGAACTTAAGAGTAATTGTTTTAATTCATGCATTGTTACTTGTGCAATATTGATTTGCATAATACAGCAAAATTTTTGCTCTAATAATGACTTAGAGTAAGGTTTGTGACAAAATACTGACTGAATAGTCCACAAGAATCTTAGTGATACTTTGTATATTGTACTATTTTGAGATGCATTTTCTACATTTCACAATGAAAAGGAGAAAGATCTGTCCAAGAAATTTGGACTACTGTTCCTTGACACTTGTGTACAGTTCAGGACATTTATTAAAGGAAATGTTTTGCCATGAGTGGCTTCAGTCCTAATACAGAGAAACTAAGAGTATATGTATAGTGGTAGGAGTCGGGTGGAGTGTTGCGTGGGTAGAGGTGGTGGTGGTAGTCATAGCAGTGGAATTAATGTGGTGAGATGGGTGGCTTAGAGACTGACCTGTTGATACCATGTTACAGTAGTCTCCTGAATGGGTAATATCCTGTTGATTAGCAATTTTGGGATACTAACTGCCAGACTTTTGTTGGATAGTGTTACTGACAGCAATTACGACAGTTTCTATGTGTTTTCTCTTAAATTGTCTTTTTAATCACTAGTTTAGCACCTCTGAATTTCATGAGGTGTCCAACATTGTCCCTATGTTGAACACGCATTTTTATGATCATTTCTGCACTATCACTACTACCTCTACCCACACGACACTCCACCTGACTCCTGCCACTATATATATACTGGTTTTCTCAGTTTCTCTATTAAGACTGAAGCCACTCATGGCAAAACATTTCCTTTAATAAATCTGAACTGTACAAAGTGTTTTTTTCCACATCTTGCAGGTATCACCATACCATTTCTTCATTACTCAAGTGCGGAATGACAACTTTGGGTTTGGTAGTTAGCCTACAGGTATGTAATCAATGTTAAGCCTATGTGAATGTGTAGTATATTGTTTCTAAGAGTAATTTTTAACTTTGGTATGTGTGTTTAGTGCTTCATGGGTAGGTGAATGTGTACTATTAAATCTGAAATTTCTTTTCAATTGTTTACTACAGGTCTTGTTACTGAAGTTCCAAATGTAAATCAGTTACCTCACTTGTGTACTACTCTTCTCATCGTTTCAACACTAATGCTTGTGAGGGGCTCTTGATTCAAGGAATTGGGACCCTTGTGAGTTCAGCACATAGTTTTTTATTGTAATTTAAAGGGAAATTT